CCAGGACACTGGGATCATGACCTGAGCCAAAGGCAGCCGCTTAACGACTGAGCCACCCAGGCGCCCCTAGTTGGTTTGTTTGTTTTTTTTAAGATTCCTACATATAAATGAGATCATACTGTGTTTGTCTTTCTCTTTCTGCTTTAGCATAATGCCCTCAAGAGCCATCCTTGTTGTCCCAAACAGCAGGATTTCCTTCTTTCTGGTGACTAACATTTCATTGTATGCATATACCACATCTTCTTTATCCTTTCATCTTATACCTATTACCAGCCTACCTGTGCATCTATTATCTAACTATCTATTTTTTACCTTTTTAAGACTTGAAACCAAAGATGTGAAGCTAATCTGATGGGCACATTAGTTTTGGCAGTTTATTTTTATCCAGAATATCAGTAGACTTGGAGGAGAGTTCGGTGCTGTCCCCTCATCTTTATTAGTTTTTTTCTTACTTGGAAAAGAAAAGTACAATTATTTTTCTCTAGTATATACAAATGGCTAATTGACTTTTTAAAAGAAGTTCTTCAATACTGGTCAAGTATTTCCATTTGTTTATAGTTTGTTTTGATTTAAAAAATAAAAAGCAGCAACTTCTCCATTGTGCACTAATTAAATTCCTCACCACTGCCTCTGGAGTCAATTAGTGCTTTTCCATTCCAGAAGTAATGGTGCAGCTGCTGACAGCGTTAAAGCATCACAAAACTGAGTTTATTCTGTCTGCTGAAATGCTTCTTTATCTGTGGAGATCAAGGCAAGGCTTAGCTCACCTCGGGGAAGCCCCAGGAAAGCCTCCAGGCCTCCACATCCTTCCCTGAATAGGAGGCTAACTACTGGATTTTACCCTCCACCATGGCGGTCTTCTCTTTCCAGCGACTGGCTACACCACTGACAATCCTGGAAGCAACAGGAAAAGCCATTTACTTTTTCTTCCTTATTACTTTGGTAGGAGTTGTTTTGTTTTGACATTTCTCTGACATTCTTGTTTTGTGTGTGGGGGTTTTCTCCTGACTCCTTGGGAATTTATTGGAAGGGCAACAGATTTATTGCCAAGCATGTTGGATTGTTCATTGTAAGAGCACATTTTCTAAGTGTGAATTGAGTTATCTGGAGAAGAAACAGAACTGGAGAGGTGAATGGGGACAGGCAGGAATGGTGAATGTTTTGCAGGTTGGGATTTCATGTAGCCAGCAAAGACCACCCTTCAACCTTGGGCAATCAGAGCCCTCTTCTGGGCCTCCTGATTCAGGGTTCTGCTTTGGTTCTTTTGGGCCATCTATTCCCAACGGGCAAATTATTTTGAAAAATGGAATTTTTTCTGAAGCCATATTTGTGACACTGTGATGGAGATGAGCTGCATACCATAGGTACAGTAATGTAGCAACCTAATTCCCTGAGCTCTGCTCAAGAAATTACTAATTGTAGAGAAAGAGTAAAAATAGTCTGAAGATTATTTTTTATCTTAAAACAAATTATATATTTACCTCCAAATTAGGTCATACAGGGTATTACTTGATAATTCTTTTTTTTTTTAAAGATTTTATTTATTTATTCATGAGAGACAGAGAGAGAGAGAGAGACAGAGGCAGAGGGAGAAGCAGGCTCCCCGCGGAGCAGGGAGCCCGATGCGGGACTCGATCCCAGGACCCTGGGATCATGACCTGAGCCAAAGGCAGACGCTTAACCGACTGAGCCACCCAGGCGTCCCTACTTGATAATTCTTGACAGTAAAAAAATTGATTTCTATTCACTTTCCTAAATGGGCAAAAGTGAATCAAGGAGGGCTTTATTAGGTATAAAGTTCAGAAAAATATAAAGGCAGATGACCCTGTCCTACACTGGCTGTCATCTTCGCCTCTGATCAGATGCTAAATGAAAAGCTGAAAGCACGTTATCTACTACAGTATTGGTCTAAGTATGGTTTAGGAAATTCATGTAAGTTATGAGAGAAAGAGGCTCCCTAGTAAGAAATACCGTGTATTCTGAGCAAAAGCGAAATAGCTTTTTCACAACAGGACATGAAGAAGCTTCAGTGTGCTGATTTATATCATGACCCACTAAAAGAAGAATATAGTGGTTCTTTTTCCCATGTTTGTTTGTTTGTTTGTTTGTTTTTTTAACCACAGAACCTTTTATGGAAGGAGTTTCTGAACCTGGGCCCTCATGAGCTAACTTTGGGGTGTGAACACCTTAGAATATTATTTCTACTAATGCTTCATTGGGTCAGTCTGAGATGGAGGAGTTTCTCCCTATCATCTGTACATGTTTTTATTTTCCCCCTATTTCTAAGATTTACTCCGCTGTAAAAAAATCTGTAACTTTTGGCCTACCCACCATTATCCATTTCTGTTATATATACCTTTGGTCAGGGTCTGAGATGTCCCATCCAATGTAAAAGAAGTGTTAAGTGTTCTTTTATTATAGATTCAGCAAATCATTACTACTGCATTTCATTATCTTCTAAATCACTTCTATTTTCTTTGCTATGGATATGAAGCCACATTTTATTAGGATGGACCATAAGAAATAGCTGATATTAAACTAATAATAGTGACAATCCATGTGGTTCAACCTAATATGCTAATATTATCAAAGAGTAATTATAGTTACCAAGATACAAAAGACTTAGCAAAAAAAAGACTTAGCTACTTCAAGAATTTGGCTTAATACTTTTATAAATAGACTGGATGGTTGGCAGGAGAGATCACTTAATGCTTGTAAATGATACCAAATTGGCTGAGATTGACAGTATCAAGTAGGGCCAGACAAGAATGCAAAACAATACAATCAATTTGACAGTAATGTGCACTGGATAAAATGAATTACAATTAGGGTGCATGCAAGGTTTTGTTTGCAAAATAGAATAATTAATTTGAAAAATGCAACAGGAATAGAAACATTTACAGGGACTGGGCAACATTCAGAGGAGTTTTAAAGTCACAACCAATCATAGAGTCAGGCTCTGCTGAACATGCCCAAATGGGACACCTCTGAGCCATTCATTCTGACCAACCATCTGGACCTCATCATGTAGATTTTGGCTGCTACAGTGAATGACTATTGGCACTAGATCAATGATTCCATTCTGTGGTCTATGAACTTCAGGCATTGGGACAGAGCATTATTATTTTGAGTAATATAAGAATACTCTCCCTGTAGCCCATTCAAACTGCTCAGTTAAAGGTCAAGGAAGTTCAGAGAGTCTCTCCCTTCTTATTTCTACAGGAGGCATATTGCTCAACTTAACACATGGTCTGACAAACATTTCTGCCTGAAGATAACACCATCTTTGTATATTGGCCTCAACTTTGAACTTGTTAAGTTACTTCAAGACAAGAGCCCAGTATTGTACTTTGGAAGGACTAGTGTGTAGTCAATAAAAACATTAGTAGGATTCATCAACCAAGACTTAATAAAGTTAATTATCACAACATAAAAGTGGCACAATGTTGATTTGAGAACATGAAAAGTTGAGAAATTTCTGTGGAGGTAGATGACTGTGGCTCTTATCCTTTTGATTCTTGAACCAAATTGTCTCATTAAGAAACAAAATATGTAATTATTTTTTATGTCAATCATATTCCAAGATGGTATTTAATATATCCATTAAACTTTATTACATTCTAAATTCCAATAGGTCTAAGCCAATGTTTGGTTTGTTGGAGTTTCATGTAAGATTTGTTAATCAGAGTTGGTGGTTTTATGTGTTATGAAATGCAGTTAAATGGAAATAATTTTTATTGGGTTTTGTGTCTTAAATGTGGAGGTGCTAGATGGATCTTTTTTCAGTACTAAATTTTCTGACCGAGCGTGTAATTAAACTTCTGGTTTATTATCCATCCTCATGTCTCTACAAATTAATTAATGGTTTTAGAATGATTTATCAACTTCGGTTACTGAAATAAAATCCACATACTATGTTATACTGTCAAACAGTAGCATTACCCCTCAGCCCCTGTAATGTATATGTGTTTGAATTTATTAGAGCTCAGTCCTGAGCCAACGTTACCCTTAAGTTTCTTTGGAAAATAATTCGAGTCTAACGGGATGTTGTTAAATTCTCAGGCCATGGGAAGTGTGACTGTGGCAAGTGCAAATGTGAGGAAGGTTGGTTTGGGGAAGCGTGCCAGTACCCAACTCACTGTGACTTGACGAAGAAAAAGAGTAACCAGATGTGCAAGAATTCTCAAGATGTCATCTGCTCTAATGCAGGTAAGAAATCTATCCTATGAAAATTCTTTCTTTTTTTTTTAAAGATTTTATTTATTTATTTGACAGAGAGAAAGACAGCGAGAGAGGGAACACAAGCAGGGACAGAGGGAGAGGGAGAAGCAGGCTTCCCACCAAGCAGGGAGCCCGATGTGGGGCTCGATCCCAGGACCCTGGGATCATGACCTGAGCCGAAGGCAGACGCTTAACCGACTGAGCCACCCAGGTGCCCCTATCCTATGAAAATTCTTAAATAATCACATCCTGGTTTTTCATGGAAATAGGTAGCCGTTGAGAAATGTGGAACCTCTGAGAGAGACTGCTTTTGAGTATATATATATTTTTGAAATGAAATGCAGATAAATCAATAGGGGGAAAATGTCATCTTGCTGAGACTGGCAAGTTTGATGCTCTCCAGCTGTTGCAAATGCCTTCTTCAAGCAGGATATTCACGGGAAACAACACCCCAAAAACATTTGATGTAAATTGTGAGCCATGATTTTGAATGCTGGATTAAATCTTTTAAAAAGGATTTATATAAGCTGACTTAATTATTTTCTATTACAGATCAAGGGTTCTTTGAATTTATACCTTAACATCAAATAGAACCAAAGCTTTTTAGTTTGATAGAAGCTTTAGATGCACTGGGTGTGAAACTCATGGGAAAATATAGTGACATCACGATTTTATGTTTGGCAAAAATATTTTTGCATCTCAAGTCATATAAAAATATTTTTTAGAAATTTATAGTAAAGCTGTTAAAATTAATTAACCAGAAGATATAAAACAAAGCAACTGGTTTGGTTTCATTAATGCTTAGCTGGTATTACTGTAATTAAATACTCTTTTCATATTTGGGCACATGGAACCTCAAAAGTCCACTTTTTCTTAAGGCTGGTTGAATTTGGGAATTGTCCTGTCCAAAGCTAGAAGCTTTGATTGAGTTGTTTTGGTGGGTGTGGTCTGGGATGCAGGGGTTTTTTAAAGCTCTCCCAGTAATTCTTTTGGAAAACACGGGGTGTGAGCCCTTGTTTTGCATGCTAAAGGCAAGTATTTGACTACAAGAGTGACTATCTTCCCTCTTGAAGTTCCCATTGTAGGTAGAGTCCTTCTATGTTCAGAGCTATCATCTTTCCACAGTCTGATTGCAATGAATTGCTCTGTGTAGATTAAGTGCAGTAAGAGTGTTTTGCTAGTAGGAATCAAGGCCATACCCAAAGCAAGGTATGAGTGGATGTCAGGCACCCTGACAAATGGTCTTAACAGTCAGGTTGCTTACTCTATTCACGGATCTTCTCCTTGCTTCACTTCAGCACCTTAGTCTTTTCTGTCTTCTCTGTAGGATTTTTTTACCTCCAGTTCCTAACACCCACCCCTACAAACACACACACACACACAGCCTTACATGCTTACCGTATAGCCTCATTGTTTTGAAAATGTCAAGCTTTCCAAACTTCTTTCAGTAATAAAACCTGAATTCTGTTTTGTTTCTTTGTTCTTTATTTTTGGCTTTATTTATTTGTTGTTTATTTTTCAAATCAAATCTAGTTTTTTTTCTTTTTAATAATACATTATAAACAAAAAGGGGTTAGTTTAGGAATCCAAATGTTTCAACATTAAGTAAAAAAACCATGCAATTCGCTACATTAACATACCTTAAAGGAGAAATTTACAGAATCGTTTCAGATGATGAAACATACTTGATAAGATATAAAACACAGTTTTAAGGTATCTGAGCCTCGATCTTTTTTTTTTTTTAACATTGGTACAATACTTTTATGTAATCTACCATCCATATTCCAGTTTCATTCACTGACCAAACAATGTGCTTTACAGAATTTCCCTGCCTCCGTAGGATCCAGTCTAGGGCAGAGTTATATTTAGCTCTCATTTCTTGTTAGCCTCCTTTAATCTGGACCATTTCCACAGACTATGGTGTTATAGCACTGAAAATTTTGAAGAAAATTGTCTCCAACCTTTTTTTTTTAATAGAATGTTACTAGTTCTGGCTTTGTCTGATGTGTCCTCATGATTAGATTCATGTCATACATTCTTAGCTGAATCACCAGATAGATGATTTTGTGTTCTCAGGATGTGTCATCTGGAAGTCCATGATAGCCATCTGCTCTCACTGGTGAGATTAATTTTGATCACATGGTCAAGGTGTTGTCTGATGTCTCAGCTCTGTAATTACTGATTTTGCCCTTGTAACAAATGAGCAGTCTGTTGGGAAACACTTAGAAATTATAAGACATCATATCCTCGTCAAAATTACCCCTGATTTACCATCCATTGATGACTTTCACATGATCCAGTGCTTACACTAGTGATTGAAAAATGATGATTTCCAAACTCCAATATTGCCTCCCTATTTACTAGTTGGTACTCAACATTCTACCACAAGTAAGAGTCTTCTCTCATCTACCAATTATTGGATATTTCATTTACTTAGTGATTTATTGTCAGTCCAGGATCACAGTTCCTATTATTTCAATGGTTTATTATTCATTACTGAACTTAATTACTCTGGTCCCAGATGAGGCTGTTGGAGCCCCTTCAAGCTAGCTTCTCAGTCCTTGTGACATGCCTCCATTGTTTTGTTTTGTTTCAGCAATTCTTTCTTTTCTGGGATAACAAAATATTCCAGAGTCATATTGTACCTGATTTGCCACAGCTTTGGAATCAACCATTTCTCTAAAGAGCCTTGGTTCCTTTAGGTGAAGAATGATAGTAGAATAAAAATTGTGAGCACTAGGGATGTTTATTTCTACTGGGATGAATTTGCTTCTTGGCCTTTTCTATAAACAGGCTAGTAAACATTCATGAGCATATATATACATGTACATGCACATACATACACAGACATATTTTAGAAATCATGAAGTCACACCAATACATCCAACTCCAGTCCACCCCCACAAAGTTATCTGCTGTCTCACCCATTTTTCATGGTGAGAATTCTGGCTCCCAACATCATGGATATATTTACTCATTTGCTCAGTCCTATACTACATCTAAAATTGTTTTTAGAATAGCTTCATGCATACCAATATACAAAACAAGTCTACCGAAGCATTTTGGGATTTGTTTGCAATTGACCTCCTCCCCCACCCCCACCCCATGCCAGCCATGCTCAAGATTGGGGTACTTAGTTAATTGCTGTGTTCATAAGTTACTTGGATTTCTTTCTTTTTGTCTCCCTTTAGTGTAGTTATTGTACTCATTTGAAATACAATTAAGGTTATTTACTTCAGATTGCTTTCAGTTTTAGACTTTTTTTCCTCCTTTCCATCCTTACTGATTTTATTTTATTTTGCAATATGTAGAACATTAGCATGCTTCCAAAGGTCAAAACTATATAAAAAAAGCATACTTAGCAAATCATCATTCTCTTCCTAAACCTTCCCTCCTGCTTTCTTCATACCTGTTAGGTAACCAACTTTATGGCATTCTGCTTTATCTGTGTATATGTTTATTTTAAATAAAGGCAGATAGCTAGATGTATGTGTTAGTTTTTTGGTTTTTCACTTGTTCCCTACACAAAAGGTAGCATGCTATATATGCTCTTTTGTACTCTGCCTTTGCCACTCAGCATCTTCTGGAATTCACTCCATATCAGTGCATAGAAATCTTGCTCATTCTTTTTTCAGATGCGTAGGACTCAGCTCTATACGGGTGACATAATTTATTCACTCAGTCTCCTATGGTTGGGCACTTTCCAATATTTTGAAATTACAAATATTAATGCAGAGAATGAACTGGTACATATGTATTTTCATATTTTGGGGGGTGTATCTTCAGGATAAATTACTAGACATGAAATTGCTGCACCAAAAGGTAAATTCATACTCAGTGTTACTCTTAATCTTTCTCTCTTACTCTGTACTCAGTATGGAAGCCTTTCAAGTTGACTTTAGCAATCTTATTCTCACATGGCTTCTTTTAGTGTCTATTTCTACCAGCCTAGTTCTGGACCACTCCCCCGAAACTGCATTAGGCTCTGAGTTCTCTCTACTAACTGTTCCCCCTTTATATCACAATGTGGTTTCCTGGAAGCAGCTTGGGGCAGAAGGGGAAGAGGAGGAACTAGACTGGGACATCAGACTGCAGGTCAGGATGAGATGGAGCTGGGGACTAAAGGAGTTGCAGAAGCTGACTCTAGAGGGGTCCAGAAGGCAAGGGACAGCCTGCAGAGCAAAGTGGGGCTCCAGTGCCATTGCACAGGAGTATGGTTGGTGTTCAAGACAGGGAAGTCTTCCTAGAGAGAGAGCACTTTACTAATCAGAATGAAAAGTCAGAGCAAAAATAATCTAGCATAAAGCATAAAGACCAGTCCTAGAGACTGAGCTCACTGGCAACTAAGAAAGAGAAGCAGTATGACATCACATGAACACAGGAGTCTGTCGCTTTTGCCTGGGCTTCCATCTGCCATATCTTGGAGCCTCAGTTGTGAATTCTACATGATGGGTGAGACAGGAAGTCTCTGAGCTGTTGTAAACGTCCCACATTAGCCAGAAATGGTTCAGATGTGTGGATGGGAGTGAGCTTTCCTGTCAGGGTGTCAGTGAGAAGTTACAGAATTCAAAGGTAGAGGCTGTTCCTGTCTTTCCTGAAAACAGCTCCTCCGTTCTTTGCCCTGACGATGTTATACCTCGCTTCCAAACGATGAGAGGCTCCTGGTATTCCAACAGATAAATTCTAAAGTCCTTGGCCAATATTCTTGATCCTCTACTCTCTGCCTTCAGCTGGCCCTTTTATCCAAACCCAAGCGAGACTTTGCATTGTTCTTTAATTCCACATCTTTATCCCTTAGCTGAGGCCCCTTCCTCAACATCGCAAGCCTTTTCTCCATCTCCACCTGTTGAAATTCTATCCATACATCAAGTGCCAACTCAAGAACTTGCTCCTTTACTGGGCCTTTCCTCCTTTACAGAGCCAGACTGAGGTTTATACTTCCTATATGGTATTTGTCACAGATCTGTTGCAAATGCCTTTACGTCATCTGGTCTCATACATATGTGTAAAAATTATTGATCATCTAAGCTCTTTCTTCCTGGTCTGTGATTTACTTAGTTGTCATTTTCTTATTATCTCCTATAGCACCCGGTACTTTGCCAACAGTATAGTAGGCAGCAAGAAAATTTAATGAATGGTTATGTGGATGGTTAAAAGACAGCATGAATAAATGTGAAAATGAAAAAGAAGGGTGATAGAGAAAAAATGAGATGAGGCAGTACCATGAATTATAGCATTCGATTTGAAATGAGCTTTTATAATTTAAAATAGTTTTCAGGAAAAAACACACATACAAGAAAAGGAAATTTAATAAATGTAAAATTCAGGAGTATTCTCAAGGAGGAAAAATAATTAGCTCAAATTCTGCAAAATCACCATTTCTATGTAACTGTGAGAGAAAAAACTTTTTCAAGATAATAGCTAATTGGGAATGACCTGGGTACCAGAATCATGCAGAGGGTATGAAGACAGGACGTCGTGGGGTCTGTCAATATACAGAAAGTCTAGGGGAAATGTTTGAGAACATGACTCATATATTCAGTATCTTTATGGGAGAAGATGAAGAACCCTCAGTTTTCTGAAAACCTATGATGTAACTGAACAAACTGTTTTCAGAAGGATGGCTGGGTGATATATTTACCACTGGGCTCTCATAGCAGCTCTATGAGGTAGATATTATTTTCAGAGAAGCAATTTAAGAATTAGAGATGAACATAATGACCTCAAAAATGTATAGTACTGGTTATTAAAACCCGGATTTGGCTACAAATCCACCTTAGTCCTAAATCCATGCCCTTTCTGGCCCATCACATACAGACTTGCCAATATCCAGTAGCTCAGTTCAAACATCAATATCCTCTTCAGTTCCTCCCGATCCTTCACCACTCATACGCAGTCTCTGAGTCGTCTGTCCTTTCTCCTGAAAACACCCCTGAGCATTTTCACTTCTTTCCAACTCATTGCCATCACCCTGGTCAGCCTCTATCCCTTCTTCCCTGTAGACAAATGTGATAAGCTATTCTCATATCCACTGCGCTTCATTTCACTTCATTCTGCATATGACAACTAGCGTAATCTGGTAAAAATGCATACGTGATCACATGACTCCCTGGCTGAAAGTATTTCTATGGCTTCTCATTATTCTTGGATTAAAGTTGGAAGTCTTTAACATGAACTGTAAGACTTCTGTAAACTGCACCTCCACATGCCTTATTCAATTCATGCCACTTTCCACATCATTTCCTATGTTCTAGCCATCTTGGACTTTTTCTTCTTATTTCCACTTTTACCACAGAGCCTTTGCTGTTGTCTCTTGCGGGAAGTGGGCCTCCCCACCATCTCACTTCTCTTACCTATTATTTTTACTTTGCTCTCAGTACCTCGTTTAGGATCTACTTCCCCAAGGACTCTGTGTCTGATTACCAGGTCTCAGTTAAATCCCCTGCTAAGCTCTTCTGCAACACTTTGCACTTCTCCATTTATTTTATCACTTTGGTTTTCTCATATCAAACTCTGAGAGGAGGATTATGGCTGACTTGATCTCCCATTATGTTTCCACAGTCTAGGATGTGATCTGGTGAGTGGTAAAGTCTCAGTTCATATTTGTTGGTTGCTATGATGATCGATTAAAAATGGAAAAATAAGTATTAAGAAGAGGGTTCCTTAAATGGACATTCTACTTCTCAGTATCATTTGAGTGCTGTTTTACTGTCAGTGAGATCACTCTCAGGAGTTGTAGTCAAATCCTCAAAGTTGGCAGAGTCTATGGCGTATGGTATACCAGATGACTCCAGTGCCTCTGTGTCACTCACTGTGAGCCTCCTTGAGGTTTTGGTGAGGTCCCGGGACACTATACCTGAGAAAACCTGCTCTGGTCCCATTGTCATAAGGATGTGTGGATCAGCTTAACACTGTAGAGGTGAAATTATTAGGAGATTCTAAGTTTTTCATTTATGCATTTGATAATGAATTCCACAAATATTTATTATATAAATAGTATGCTCAAATATTGTGCAAAGCATTGAATAAATACTGGTGAGGAAGATAAGCAAGGCTACTTCCCTTACAAAGCTTAGAATTTTCTGCTTTACTTCACTTCAGACCCAGGTGTAATTGCAAGATAGTCATTCGTGCATTGATTGGATGGCCATGTATGAAGTAGCTCTGCACTTGGGGAGGTCAAATTTCCATTCATGAAACTATTAGAGGTCAATCATAATAGCTATGTGCCATAAAATATAATTGTTGTACTATAATCATCAAGTAAGAATGTTGTTATCTATCTCATCCTACCCACAGAATTACATAATTGGAATATTAAATTGATTTGAGTTTTTTCTGTCTCTGAAAGAGTTTAAAAATCATCGATGATCATTTATATGCACTTAAGAAATACTTTTTGCTTTGTTTAAATGGTTTAGGTACATGTCACTGTGGCAGGTGTAAGTGTGATAATCCAGATGGAAATGGCCTCGTTTATGGTAAATTTTGTGAGTGTGACGATAGAGAATGCATAGACGATGAAACAGAAGAAATATGTGGAGGTAGGTATACTAACTTCGTAGAAATTAGTAAAAGTCCTTGATTTTTCACCTGTTTTATTGTACTTTTGTCACTCTATACATTCCTGCACTGTTTACTCATTTAATCTGAATTTATGTTTATTTGGAGAACACCTCATATAAGGCATTTAGGGTAGACTAGTACTTTTTAAATGCAAAATCAGACTGTTCCCAGGGGAGAGCCCGATCATTATAGCAACCGACCAACTGTGTGGTTCCAGAGTGATCCTACCGGTACTTCATCTTCCCTGCTTCGTGCAGCACTTTTATGTTGTCTCTTTTCTCCCAGTCAGTCTCTCAGTTGCATGTGTTAATTTCATTCTATTTTCCCTTTCTAAATCATAAGCCTTTAAATAGTTTCATGTCCCATTGGAGACACTGGAGGCCGAAAGGATCACTAGCCTAGAATCTGTCCCTTGCCACCCCATACTTAGATTAACATTTTTCGTGATCTTTTTTGTCTTTCTAGGGTATTTCTAACACCATTACTCAATCCATTTTTCTATTGAAGCATTTATTGCATGTGCCACACTTCCTAGCGCCAAGGACTCTAATAAGTTCTTCACATTCGTTGGGTAGTACACCCAGGGTCATTCCAGCAATAGTATTGGAATTTAGACTCTTGTCTGTCGGACACCAAAGACTGAGCCCTTGACCCTACCCATGGAGAGCTGTATCAGTGCCCTGGGGTTTGGAGCTCCATGAGAAGAGCCCCTCCTCATCACCCAGAGTATCCTTCTCTTCTGCTTACCTATCTGCAAGCGTGTTCCCAGAGTTTATATTTGCACCCATGGCTAGCACAGGAGAGGAAAGGAGAGAGCAGCGAGAATCTCTTCAGTTTACATAAATGTAAATGCTTCAGCCTGGTTACTGCTGGCCTCATCTCTCCATTAATAAGCAATTGTTTATTTCATTTATCTCCGACAAGATTCCAATGCATGGAATCCTATTCTGCATGCAGAATGGATGATTTCAGAAGATAATTTTCCCTGGAAGGATCAGGGACAAATGGGGCAGGAGGAGCCAGAGAGCCATAGAGAAAGTGTCACTAACTTAGGAGGACAAGCTCTCCCTCTGTTTACAAAAACAAATTGTAGCTTCAATTCTTGCGGTCATCCAGATACTCTTATTTTAGGTCTGCTTGGTTCCCTCTGGTTTCCTTGCTGTACAACCCACCAAGATAAAACAGACAAATACAAAAAGTTACGTTTTTCAAGGCAATGACCTAAGCTAGATGCTGCTCAGACAATTCTGTTAATGGACTCAATCCAAAATAGTTAGAAGAGTTAGGTAAATCCACCTACAAATATTATGTATCTATCCTCCTGATGTTTCATTTTCAATTATGATGGACCAAAAAAGAGGTAGGGAACATGCTTGGAGCCAGTGTGTTCTGATGCACACCACCAAAGCGAAGTCTATTTGCATGTGTAAATGTAAACATTTAACTTGAAGCAACACAACAGGAAATGTTTGACTCCCAACCTTGCCACTAACCATTTCCATTTGTTTGAGGCTTAAGCAATTTCATGGTGCAAAGTCTCTGACCACACACTTCAGCACTCCTCTGAGGGTGACTTTGGCTGGGATTGTAGATCTTTCTACATGTCATTCGCATGAAACCAATCTGTTGAGAGGTGACTGTACAGCCCATCAGTGGAACACTTTAAAAGGAGATTTTCTCGCTCCATCAGTTTATACAAAGCAAAGAGTGGATATTTATTGTGTGCAATGTGTATTGTCCCAAGCTTGTATTTTATCTCAATTATCCACATGTGGCTTGTTAACAGTATTTTCATTTGGGTTGTGAGGATATCTGCTTAATTTTTCCTATCTACATACAAATGTAGTTTGACGTGATTCTTCTTTCCTTATTCACCTGTATCTCTGTGATGTTTTAGTAAAACCCTAATTCAATTTTGAGTTTTATAAATATACAAAGAATTTGGGTATGAAGAATGTAGATTTGGGATTATTTGTTAATGTCATGGTAATGCTTACGTACGCAGCACCTTACATAAATTTCCTAAAATTTCAGAGGAAATAAATTCTGGTTTAAAAAGTTAATCAAGTCTTAAAAAATTAAAAAAAAATTGACTTCTAGAAAAGGTTTTAGTACACAGTTGTCTTGCTGTTTTCCAGTGTAAGTTCCTGAGGAGACAGCCCCAGGATGTATTTTGTGTGGGTACAGGAGAGATGTTTTTGAGTTCATAAATAAAATGTATAGCCTTTATATTTTATCACTGGTGAAATCATTAGATAGCCCTTACATTTGCCTATGTGAACAAATTAAAATGAAAACTTGTTGTAGAAACGATCATTGACTGTTAGGCTAATAAGAGGTTTTCCATGGAAATCCAAATTACAGCTCATTTAGAGAGAAAACGTGGCAAGTGACTTGAGGCACATAGAATTGCCACCTTCTGGGAGCCAGAAAGATTGCTCAGTAGGGGTGCAGGAAGCCAGGATGTTACAGCTCATGAGGGGTTGCTGGGAAGTAGGTACAAAGGAGCAGGGTAAGGTTTCATAAGAGGCAGGAGCCAGAGGGGTGTGGTGGCTTCGGAACACAAAATGATGGGGCGCCCCCCCTATCATTTCTGTCCCCTTGACAAATAGGAGGGGGATTTGATCGGGAGGCCAAGGGTCCATGATAGTTTATTGACCCAAAGGAAGACTAAACACTGATTTAACAGAAAACCTCTTTTCCTCATGGTAGAACACAGCAGCCTGTGGGACACATTTGAATGGAAAGATGAAATATTTCCCCTGGTTTAAGAAATGGTTCAGTCATTAATACTATGCATCCAAGTAAATATGTACCCCTGGCTTCTCAGTGGTTGATTTCAAATGAAATACTTGGATGACTAATTCCAGAAATACCCTCCGAAGGAATGCTTACATACATTTGACTGGGATGCTGTACCTTTGAGATCGGAAGGTAGTAGACAGGCTTTCACAGTCTTTCATGTCATTTCTTTAAATTTCTTTCATTTTAATCAGCTACCTGGCTAGGACAAGTTAGAAGACACTTTGGCTTGCTTTGCGTGTATAATTACATAGGTATATGCAAATCTATAACTTGATTATTTTAAGCAGGGACTGTCGAGCAGGTATATTTTATTTCAAAAGGCAAAAATGATCATGAAGAGGTAGAAAGTTAATTTTGCTTTTAAAAGTTGCTTTTTTTTCCCCTCACTCTATAAAATTCATTTTGGGTAAAGGCCATGGAAAGTGTTACTGTGGAAACTGTTATTGCGGGTCTGGTTGGCATGGAGATAAATGTGAATTCCAGTGTGATATCACCCCCTGGGAGAGCAAGCGAAGATGCACATCTCCAGATGGCAAAATCTGCAGTAACAGAGGTGTGTCATTCATTCACGTTACTACGGAGTTGGGGCGGGGGGGAGGAACAAAGCTCTTAATTGTTAACACTCTTTTTCTCTGGATTTCCTTCAGTATGGGAGGAAGTTGTCTTTTATGGTGTTTGACTTCGATGTAAGTCCATACTATACCAACAGTCTTCTCTCTCATTTTTTATTGAGTAAAAAAGCAGAAGGATAAGAAAGTTGCTATAGTTCTTTAAGCTTCACTGAACCCGTTGTTAATGTAGGGACTGTAATTTCTTTGGCGGCCATTCAGAAATAGCACAGGACAGCTAAAAGCCAATTCTTGTAGATACTTCTGCTAAATGTCTCTTCACTAACAGAACCATCTCCAGCATGAGCATCTAATTATCTAGAGAGTATTCAAGAAACTCTCTTGTCTTCATTATGAGTAAATCGAAGGCGTGGTTGTCATTCAGAATTGATCTGGAGTGGCTTCACTTTTATCTGCAGTAATAAAAATGATATTGAAGAGTTATAGAAACTATGTGTCAGGTAGCCATAGAAAATTGATGCTGACCTCTGACGTGAACTTTAAGAATATATTAGTATTGCTAAAATGTAATTTAACGTGAATTAACTGTTGATATCAAATCAAATCAGTTTTCAACACTTTTTAAAAACCCTTGAAAATACTTGTCATTTTTCCCCTTATTAGCTCTACTGTAAGTAAAAGAGGACCATGCAAGACTGTTCCTTGCCGACCTGATGATATAAATAAGTGACCATTTTTCCTTCTATGAAATTATAAAAATCTAGAAAGTTGGAAAACTCTTTTTTTCATGTCTATAAATGAATGGTACTTCTTAATAGATCCTGCTTCCACGGAAAACCTTAACACACAACCGATTCTATCTTTTGAAAAATTGGCAGAAAACATTGACATGGAAGAGTAAAATGGGCCACATTTCTGTATGCAGGGAAAGGAAAGCAAAAGGCCTGAACTTGGAGCAAAAATCATAAAGAAAAGTCCTCTTTTTAATTTATGCAGAATCGGTCTGACTATAGATCATAATACTCATTCATGTTATGTTTTCCTTTACTATATAAGGATGTGCTGCTGCCTGAGCTCTTTGTATTGATACAGTAGGGTCAGTGGTCACCATCATGCTGTCAGGGTATGCAGCTTGTGCTGTGTTCCCATGGGAAGCAAGCAGCTAGGTGTTGCAAGGAGTGAGGAGAGAAGTGGAAATGGTTGGGCTGTGGAGCAGGGCCGGGTTCTGCAGCAGGTGGGCTCTGAGAGACAGAGGTCCTTCAGAAACACACATGACTCGCCCCCTCTCTGCAGTCTCACCTCCTGCCTCCCCTTTCCCGTGAGGGGTCCGATTTGGAGATCCGCCAAAGGCAGAAAGGAAAGCACCATGCCTGAACGAGGCTGGTTAGCAGTGAGACTCAGGGGTTCCTGAAGGCGAGTCTGAGTCGGGGAAGCACGGCCATGAGTCCTTTTATTCCCCCCGGAAGGTAACGGCCATGTTTCCCCTAGCACTCCTCCCCATCATTGCTTCTGGGCCAAGAGAGAGACACCAATCCCTGCACAGACCTACCTCATCTTCCTTGTTAGCCCATCTCCAAAGCCAAAAAAGCCTCTGTGGTAGACACAGCTCATCGGGGACAGAAGCATGTCCTGCATTGCCCAAATGGCTCATTCAGTTTCACGCTGGACCCACTTTAGCACATACCCATCCCCACCCCTTGCCCCTGCAACAATTATACTATTAGGAGAGCCACGTGTATTTGTTTTTTAAAATACAGATATGGATATTTTAAAATACATTTTAAACATTCAGATATAACCACCTTTTACATTTCGGTGCATGACCCTACAGTCTTTCGTTAGCTTTCTTTTTGTCAAATAGACGGCAAGTTTCTTGAGGGCAAGGATTCTATCTCATGTTCTTGTTTTGATATTATTTTAGAGAGAAACCAGAATCGTGCTGACGACACGTCCCACAACCTCACACAATTATAGACACAGATACTAACTTTTGTTTATTAAAAAATCTCTACTGTCCACTTTAGATGGTGTTTTTCCTTGGTAGAATTTTTTTTCTCCAATATATGTATTTTCCAAATACACAATAAGCAAAAGATTTTAAAAAGCAATGTGTCAGATGCTTTCTTCCATGATTTTTCTTCACTAAAACCATATACAATTTTTTTTTTCTCACTTAGGTACTTGTGTGTGTGGTGAGTGTTCTTGCCACGATGTTGACCCAACTGGAGACTGGGGAGATATTCACGGGGACACCTGTGAGTGTGATGAGAGGGACTGTAGGGCTGTCTATGACAGATACTCCGATGACTTCTGTTCAGGTACATTGCTTTCCTCATTCCTGTTTTTAAGTAAAAAAATAAAAAATAAAATAAAATAAATATATATATTCGTTTCTTATTTTCAAGCTTCATTCTGATTCTCACAGAAACTGAAAAAGATCCAAATCTGTGCGGCCCCTGGGTGGCTCAGTCGGTTAAGCATCCATCTCTTGGTTTCACCTCAGGTCATGATCTCAGGGTCATGAGCTCGAGCCCCGTGTCAGGCTCTGTGCTGGGTGTGGAGCTTACTTAGCTTACTTGTGATTCTCTTTTTCCCTCTCCCTCAGCGCCCCCCACCCCGCTCACACACTCTCTCAAAATAAATGCATGAATGATGAATGAATGAATGCATGAACTGAATCTGTGCATTGGAAAGCATTTGATAGTCACAGCGCTCCTGTGAATACCTTGGAAAACCTTCAGAGAATTTACACGTTGGCAAAGACCAGAGATGAAAGGGCCTCACTTTCTTAAAACTAGTCTAACTCCTCACCAAGGAGAACTACCTCCTCCAGATATCTGTTGCTCAGCTCTGAACATACAGAACCAGCAGACTAATGACGGCGTCCAGGATGGGGACCATGAGAACAGCTATGCTCATGTATTACACAACTTCACATAACACAGTTCTCCTGGATATTTTCATGCCTTAATTCCTTGGCATAATTTATATCCTAAGATTATTCTGCAGACTAGTGTAGGATTCAATATCAGTAAGTGGATTCAAAAATTTTGTTCCATAAACATTTATAGAGCAGATACCATTTACCAGGGTCTGGACAGCATCCTGGCTTTCAGTTCCAGCAGTGAAGGGGACAAACATAATCAATCTTCGGCTTTAGGGAGCTTGCAGTTTTAAGTGCAAAGGAAAACCACCCCCTGCCAGAACCTCTCAGGGTGGAAAGGGAAAAAGAAGGTGGTCAGAAGGTGGTTATCTGAAAAAGTGTCATTGAGCAAAAGCTGGAGTTACGGATTTTCAGTCCGGTTATATTTGACCACCCAGGAGACAGAGACATCTGCATATACATCTTTTTAAGCTGAACTGCTTGATGGGTGTGTAAGTAGATAGGAAACTCCACTGTCTCCTGAAGGTTTGCCAGCAAAGGGAGATAAAGAGCTGCCCTGTTTAATCACGATTGTGCAGCTGTGGAAGCTTCTCTGGCCCCACGGAGAGGAGCCTGCTGCTAAAACTTCCCACTGCAGAAGAGCTTCCCTCTCCTGACTATCCCTCATGCTCGGGAGAACTTCCTGAACATTCCATGAACACCCTTCTCTTGAGGGGATGCCCTTTCCAGACTTTTCTGTTATTCATTATATATGAGGGTTATTATTGCCATATTGACACAATGGAAATGAGACAGCCGTGCCAGACACCGTGCTAAGCACTTTCCAGATTGTGGCATTTATTTTTTTTTGTAAACGTCTACGAGGTGGGGAATCTGTTTCTTCTCATTTTACAAACGGGGGTAGTGAGGCCCAGGAAAGTTCCATAAACTGCTCAAGGCCTCACAGGATCACAGGATCACAATGTTAACGAGGTCTATGAATCCAAAGAAATATAAAGGTTCTTTCTTTACTGAAAAAATGTTTGTGTACTAGGACAAACCTTTATCAGGAGCCAACTCTGCTAGAGGGACTACGTAAGATATTAGGGTCTACGTAAGATATTAGGATCTAAGAATACAAAAATTCATAGATTCTACCCTCAAGAAATGTACTGTTTAGCAAAACAAGCAAAACAAACAAAACAAAACAAAACAAACCCCAAAACCAAAACAAAACAACAATGACAAAACTGCCACATAAACATGAAATTTTATTAAACTGTGGTATGGGAGATTTGCAGAATCATGGATTTGTTGCTCATCCGGCCGTTGATGCTGGGGACATAGCAACGAACACAACAGATCACATCCCTCCTCTGATGGAATTTACATGCCATTGGGACTCAGAGCAGCAAACAAACTGAATAAGTAAACGGTGTAGAGAATGTCGGGCGTGGGCTTCTTACCTAAAAGATAGGCCCGCAGGTAAAAAGAGGTAAGAGGCACGTCCTAGGCAAAGAGAATAGAAGTGTGTGATCTGTGCAGGGGACTAGAATCAGTTTAGTTATCACCAGAGTGCACGAGTGACAAAAGGTAAAGCTGGCGAGAAACAGAACTAGAGGTCTTTTTGCCTTGCTGCAGAACCAGACTCTATTCCAAAGGTAATGGGGAGCTAACGATGGTTTTAGGCAGCGAAGTGCTACACTCACAGATTTCCAGTCTGGTTGTCTGGGTGCCATTTACCGAAACAGGGAATACAGAAGGAAGTTGGCAAATTCATTTCTAGATATTGAGCCTAAAGGACCAATGGCAATCCAAAGTTGGTTTTTTTTTTTCCAGCCTGTTGAATATGTGAGTCTGAAGGGTCAGGGCTGAACATGAGAAGTTAGAGCCCGAGAATAGGTAATTAAAACTATACCAGGGTTCAGGAAATGTCATTTAAGAATTCCATTTTAAGATTGTGAGATAAAACATGAATTCATACAATTTTAAATGGGAAAATGAAGGAGATAATCAGGCTGTATAAAAAAATTGTAAGTTTGTGACTTTCTGATACACTGTTTTTGGTTTTGGTTTTTGTTATTGTTTTGGTTTTGGTTTGTTTGTTTGTTTTACATAGGGTGTGTTCTTCCTTGATAAACCTGTGATCTTGATTTTGGAGTGGGGTTGAAACATTCAGAATAGCTACATAATAGTGACCACTCAGGGTCGCATGTGCTGTTCTGTCTCACGGTGAGGGAGAGGGCTCATGGGGTGAAGACGGGCAATGAACTTCAGTTAACACTTCAATCCTTTTATTATAAGCTCACAATTCCTACTGCGTGTCATTTGGACTCAGAGTTACCACTCTAGGTTGGGCAGGTAAAGGTCCAAAGGAGGCCTCCTTGGAAGCTGAAATTCTCCACTTCATCTCTTCCTTCTCTTCTTCCTTCTGCCCCTAGTTTCCTCTTTCTCACATTTTCCATTCCTCCCTATTCTAGGAGATTTCAGGAAAGGGAAGCTGTTGGGTTATGGCTGTGGTAGGTCAGGTTTATCGTGGGAGGAGTTTAGAGAAGAATGCTTAACCCTTTACTTGTGGTCTCCGCACTGTGGGGGCAGACCCCTGGCAGTGGGAAGAAGGGATGGAGCAAGAGACTGTGGTTCAGACAACAAGACAAGACCCCACTCTTTTAGCCCATTTCACACCCCTCATTCCATTTTATGTTCACCCTCACTCAGAGGGGGAGACATTATTATCTGCATTTTAACAGGAGAGGAAACAGGTTCAGAAAACTTAAGTAACTTGACAGAGTTCACACAGCCATTAAGTGTCGCCTGGAAACACATACAGAACCTAAGTATTCATGTGATTTGATCTCCAAGTGATGCAAACAAACTTCTTCAGTTTTACTTTATTTTGGTAAGGAAGAACTGTCCTCCGGATGCTCACAATTCTTATAAACAAAGCTTCTCTGAATGTCGCTATGATCTGGGGCAGGCCACCCATCTCTGGGATTTCTTCATTCTCAGGAAACCTGTCAAATTCTAGACATTCTGTTAAGTGATTTATTAGTCTTCACAATTGTCTTACTTGTCTGTCGGAGTTGCACCACGGGAAGGATGCCACGCAGCTGACTGCTGAGGATGTTAGTGCCTCTGTGTTAGGAGACGGGAGTGACCCAACTACGTCAATGTTCTCTAGTGGTTTATGCAAGGCTGGGATGTAAGAAGGCTCAGATGAAGTGCAGCTTTATATTTTGCTCCCATTCTTGCAATCCTCAGGGTGTTTTTCTTATTTGAGTCCCAGGGAAATCTCCTGGTGAGTTGGTTGAAGTTGCTCTTTTAATTGACATTCTCATTGTTTTCATTCATTCCCAGTGAGTCCATTCATCTATTCAATAATGCGCTAAAATATAAATATTTGTGCCTATTACATTTTGGATACAAAAGACACAAGTATTTTAAAACCTGCTCCCTGCTCCCAAATAAATCAGTTTTATTTATTTCTTCTTTCATTCCTATTTGTTGTTCATCATCTACTTAGTGTGTGTGTGTGTGTGTGTGTGTGTGTGACAACTCACATATACACATATATAATTCATGTGCACACTCAGATACACGTACATACACAACATACACAACACCTCAGAGACATTGCTATTAACAAAATTTGAGCGTAACTACAATGACCAGGGCATGACCAACCCTCCCGAAGTGTACCAGCGGCTCTGTTTGTTACTGCTGTTCTATGAGCTGCTCCACTGAGTTTACTTCCTGGTCCTGAAATAACTTTTATTCCTGACGGCTATTTATACTCTGGTCTATTTCCCCAAAACCCGTAACTGCTAAAATATGCCACAGTGTGACCTTAAACTTTATTTTTCAACTTGGTCTGCCTATCAAAATGGTGAAAATAGAAAGTTAGTCCTGGCTTAGCGTTCCACTAATTTGGAAAATGGAATCATTTGATAGGACCATATTGTGTGGGGGAATTTATCATGGCGGGTTCCCAAAGCATTATGGAAAGAAACTGAAGGACATGATTAAGTACCTTCAGTTTGCATTGTCTTGAAAGAAAAATCAAATAAATATATCAAATGGGTTTTTTTTTTAAATAACAAGTACTAGTTAGATCTAATTTGTTCCCCCAAACTTTTCCTATTAATGGTCCTCATCTTACTTCATAAGAAGCTAATTGTAAAAGTCAGATTCCAGTTCAAGAGAAGTTTTGATCAGTTTAAAAGAAAGAATATCTTCTACAGCAGAAGAATGTTTGTCTGGAATGGAGCAACTACATTCGTCCTGGATTGATATTTCTGAGATGACTTCGCTCCAAAGAGCACAATGATTACAAAGAAAAAATAAGTTTTGGTGTCATCACCCTCTCCTGTAATGGCCTGAGAGCCTTTAAAGCTCCTGCATGCCCAGCATGGCCACGGCCATGGTGCCACTGGGTGTCTAGCCATGTTGCCAACTGCCTGCCCGTGTGGTACAGATTGGGCTGCGATCCCACTATGTGGGCCCCATGTTGTTCTTTCATTGCTGTGTGTGTGTGTGTGTGTGTGTGTTTAATGCAGGTCATAGGTCTTCTGAAAGCTATTCTCTAATGTGCATTCTTCACATGTTTCCTATCAGGGATAAACAACAACATTCTGTATTTGTTGATCCTCTGCCTACAGAGTTTAAAGGAATACTTGTTAGAAGCAATGAAATTAACACCTGGAGGCCATATCTATCTATCTATCTATCTATCTATCTATCTATCTATCTATCTGACAAACTAGCATGGAAGTATGAAATTTCAGTGTGGTAAAATTCACTTCTTCTAATTCTGTCATTTTAAAGATAAAATGAGATGAGGGCCAGAAAGGTGGACTTAGTATTTAGACTAAGGACACAGATCTCCTAATTTCTTCTTTTATGCATCTTTCACTGTTTGTTTGGAAAAGACTTGCTATAGTATATTATGGCAGTTGAAAAGATTTTCATGCTAAACAGATCTTACCATTTCTAGACTCTTTTTTATATATCAACACCAAGCATTTTCATCTTCATTTTATCCCTATAAAATGATCCCTTTTCTCCCTCTTTGGCATAACTTTTATACTGAAATTGAGAAACTAGTAACTCCAGGAGAGAAATTGCAATTGCATTTTATGATTTCCTGTCTTCCCTGAAAGGCTCAATGCCAGCTTCACAATCTGATATCAATACCATGCATTTTAAGTGATTTCCTAACTCCACTGATGAAATATCATAAAGGATTTTATAGAAAAGGTACAGTTTCATTTAAAGTGAGATCCATAATGTTCTGAAATATACTTGAACACGAGGCTATAATCTTCGTTACCATGAAAGTAAAAGTAAAATTTAAAGTTAAAAGTTATGTTTATGTTTTAACCTAATCCTATTAGACTAGAATTATTTAAACTTTCTTTATTACTTTCACATTTGCTTCTCTGTGATCCTCACTGGGACATTTGATTTAGATATTTCTACTTTCCCAAAACAATAAAATCCTTAAGAAACAGTATATATCCCTGCTGTCACCATTTAAAGTGGTTGCCATGCATTCACTGACTCTCAGCAATTTCATTCATTATAGATGGTTGACTTAGGTCATTCATATTTTAATAACCCTTCTTTCCTCAGACCAAGCTTGTTCAATGGATGTTGACTTCAGAGGGCAGAGTGTAGAAGAGACTCCTAAGCAGGTGATTTGAGGAGGATCGGTGGCCATCCTGACCTAAATAATATTCTCCCACTGTGACACTTTCCTATTTAGAGGCAAAATCTTTCATTCTGCAGCCAATCACAGCAGGGACACTGTCTCATTAATTTATTCCAGTGCCTAAGCAATGGACTACAGTGGGGTTATCGAGGGGACTTTGATGGGGTGAAGGCTGAGGCTGAGGCAGAAGACACAGGAGGTTGGGGCTCATCACACAATGTGGCAAAAGTGAGGGACACATTGTATGTGTTCTTCCCAGCCTGGCAATGCCTAGAGGTGATGCACAAACTTATAGGACTGATTCTTGAGAATGTTCATGATGCTGCACTGAACACACAGGAAATAGAGGTGTAGGACCGCATAGGCTGCTTTTCCCCCTAGTGCCTGTATCAGAGCACAGAAATAGTGAAGAGATAGAAAAAAGGCATAACTTTAGGGAGGAAAGCATAGAGATTAAAAACCGAGTGAGGAAACCAGTATGATAGAAAACAGAGAGTGAATCTGGAGCATAATGGCGAGAGACTTTCAGAGATTTCTTCTAGCTCTAGAGCAGCTACATTTTTTTTCCCCAAAATGTGTCAAGGCATCCACAATTCCTCTGACTTCTTTTGTTATTAGTGGGACCAGATCTTAACTCTAAAAATCTTCTTCATAACTTCTGACAGTCTCCATGAATTCGTTTCACTCCACCACGAGTTTTGTTTGAAATGTTGACATGGGAACGAACCTGAGATAGAAACTAATGGCTGCGCTGAAGCCTATATTCCAACCACAGAAGTTGAGAATGTTCTGCCTTCAGTCACTGCTCTCCCTGTGCAGGGAGAATGAAGCTCCTGCTTCATTCCACGCCTGGGGACCAGGACTGCATGCTCGGTGTGTGGTGGCGGTGTCCTGGGTAGTCAGGGACTGCTTGGCATCCTTTCCTACTGAATATTTTCTTCTAATGTTCAGAGCTATTTGCAACTTTTAAAAGTAAAGCTTCCCCCCGCTTCAATATAACTGTTTTCACTGTTCTTGTTAAAGTATCAACTAGTCTCTCACCAATGGCAGCATGTTCTGTACTTTGTCCAGTATCCTTGTAGATCTAAGTGTCCTAGGAATGAGACCTCTTGTCTTCAAAGCCATTGGCTTCTATAAACAGCCAAATTTATTGTACTTGAAATGTTGAAATCTGTTTTAGAATTGTTATGTATCTATGTCTTTGCAATGTAGCTCTGTTTGGAAATTTTGCTTTAAATTACATGAGGATGGAGAAGAAGGGTAGGAACTTCTGGGAAATGGGCAAAACGCCACGAAGCCAAACAACCTCTGACATATAATTGCCAATAAGTTAAACTAGTATAATAAAAACTCTTATATTTAAAGGTTTCAATGATCACATTGACATGTCATACATATTTATTAGCAAACACAATTTTCTTTTCCTTTAAAATGATGAGCTCGAAGCAGAGTATTAATGGTGACAGGAATTCGTTGTATAGACTCTGTTGCATAGTAAGGGATCAATAGATGTATGTTGAATTGAACATAGCATTAAATGTAAAATTTGGATTCACTGATCCCTAATATCTCACTCTACTTTGACCTATAATTTTATGATCTATTTCATGAAGAACCAGGTTAATAGATGGTGAAAAGCTTCCCGATATGTGGATTGTCCAGTTCGTCCAAGTCAAAAGATAGATATCTGCCCACAAACCTCAGGGACTCTTGATAAAACAGGGCTGGTCTGTACTGAAGAACAGTTTCCATATTGTATAAATTATGTTAATATCAGATGCCAAAGACAAAATAGCAGAGATTTTCATCCATTAACATCATACTCAGTTTACTTCAAGAAAATATAATTCCACTTCCTTTAAAATTTTTTCATGCATTTTTGGGGTGCCTATGTGGCTCAGTCGGTTGAGCATTCAACTCTTGATCTCAGCTCAGGTCTTGATTTCAGGATCAAGAATTCGGGCCCCACATTGGGATCCACATTTGGTGTGGAGCCTACTTAAAATAAAAAAGTGTCATGCATTTTTGCAGCAATTCTAGAAATCCACAGTGTCCTGCATCTGTAATAATGACTATCTGAATGTTGATTAGGAATTAAGAAAAGCTCAGCTTTCTTGCTTTTCTTTCTATTCCTAGTTGTTTACGTATGTGGACTTGAATAAAAATAACAATAACTCACTTTTATGTAGCATTTTAAGATATATTATGGACTTCCTGATAAATGTGATAGATAATGTATTATTAACTTATTCAAAAATTAAGAAACTAAACTTTGGATGTGTTGACATATCTACTTTATAGATAGCAGGACCGGGATTTGAACCCATTTATTTGATTGATAACATAGGCCATTTTTTTGCGAAACCATATCACTACTCATCACAATTCGTTATAGGCTCTGTGACCATGTGTAAAGAAGTTTAATATATTTCCTGACCTCTTTTGTGTATACTACATCGATCCTCAGGGAATGTAAACTCCACAGAGGTTATTGGTTTTAGGGTAAGAGTCCCTAGGCTAAGCATGTAGTATATGGAAAAAAAGGTAATGAAAAGTGTGGGGGACTCCACAAGATAAGACCTGTTTCAACAGCAAATTGTTTTCAGTTTCCTATGGCTTTCCTCCACGTGAATTAATTACCAAATCCATCAAATACTCCAGTTAGGCCCCAGCAGACCAATACAATCACGTGCACCCGGATTTTGATGGATTCACGTTTATAGCCCTACGAACCCATTTATCTTATCAGGAGTAGTTGCTTTTCTTTACCCCTCATGATCCATCAATATAAATCAGGTATTTAAGAACTTGAGATAAATGTGCCTTCACTTTAGTGTTTAATATGGTGTTAAAATCTTGGCTTATCTGTGATATTCACTGTTGAAATGAAAACTAATTCTGACCTCATTGTCTATTTTTTCATATTTTTTTACACTCTCATTGTGAAGGTCATGGGCAGTGTAATTGTGGCAGATGTGACTGCAAAGTAGGCTGGTATGGGAAAAAGTGTGAGCACCCACGTTCCTGCCCACTGTCAGCAGAGGAGAGCATCAGGAAGTGCCAAGGAAGCTCCAATCTGCCTTGCTCTGGAAGGGGTAAGTGAGGGCTCTCAGGCTGTGTCCCCACCTCCTAATCTTATGAGTGAGTCAAATGCATTCAGTTCACATGTATCTTATTTAACAGATAGCTGAGATGCCTCGATAAGGAAAGATTAGTCTTTTTAGAACTAACAGTACATCCAATTTCCATTACTAGAAGTATATGGAGAAATATAATCTCTCTCTTTCTTCCTCTCTGTCTCGCATATGCACACACACACACTTTCTCTCTGTCTCTCTCTCTCACTCTTACTCATACCATCAGTTTAGCTTTGAGGTCTGTTCAATTTCAGTTTAGTTCAGGTCAGTTCAATGCTACATTAAAAAAAAAAACAGTTTTGCACAGCAAAGGAAGCAAAAGAAAAAGGCAACCTACTGAATGGGAGAAGATATTTGCAAATGATAGATCCATAAGGGGTTAGTATCCAAAATATATAAAGAACTTACACCTCTCAACACCAAAACAAAACAAAACAAAACAAAATAAAAAAAACACAAATTGTTTGATTAAAAAATGGGCAGAGTATCTGAATAGACATTTTTCCAAAGAAGATATACAAATGGCCAACAGACGTATGAAAAGATGCTCAATCATCAGAGAAATGCAAATCAAAACCACAATGAGGTATCACCTTACATTTAGCAGAATGGCTAGAATAAAAAAGACAAGAAATAACAAGTGTAGGTAAGGATGTGGAAAAAAGGAACCTGTGTCTACTGTTGATGGGACTGCAGATTGGTACAGCCGCTGTGGAAAACAGAAATTTAATTAAAAATCTAAAAAATTAAAAATGGAATTATATGATCCAGTAATTCCATTACTGGGTATTTACACAAAGAATATGAAAATGTTAATTCAAAAAGATGTATCCATGCCTATGTTTATTACAGCATTATTTACAATAGCCAAGATATGAAAGCATCCTAAGCATTCATCAACAGATGAATGGACAGAGAAGATGTGGTGTATATACACAATAGAATATTACTCAGCTGTAAAAAAGGATGAAATCTTGCCATTTGCAACAACATGGATGCATCTAAAGGGTATAATGCTAAATGAAATAAATCAGACAGAGAAAGACAAATACTGTATGATTTCACTTATATGTGGAGTTCAAGAAACAAAACAAATGAACGAAGAAAAAAAAAGAGACAAACAAGAAAACAGACTCTTACAGAGAATAAACTAGTGGTTGCCAGAGGGGCGGGGGTGGAGGTGATGAGTGAAATAGATAAATGGGATTAAGAGTATACTTTTTCAAGAAAAAGTTTGGATATTTGCTCAAAACTTTCCAAATGAGACCATTTAACTGTCCACCGACATTTCTGAAACTCATTAATGTTGCAATGAGATTGTTGGCTTTTGAAAAAGCATTCTATAAACAGACAGCTGTAAATAAGCTTATGTTGTTTTAGAAGGCACTTAGCCTCGGGTGTGCTCTTGGTTCCAGATCAAGTGCAAATTGGAAGAGAAAGAAGAATTCATCTAAAGGAAAGCTGGTTCCATTATTTTTTATTTATCAAAGTAAGAAATGCATTTTCACCTCTCACATGGAAATGGCAAAGTTAATATGAAATATGCCTTTGGAGGAACTGGTAATTGAAATTATTACAAATTTTGCTCATGAAAGAGGAAAAAGAGAAAGACTTCCTTTTACCTGAATGTTAGATCAGAAATTTAATTTATGTTGCAGTTTTCTCTTTGAAAAATAAATTTTTTATTGAGATATAATTCGAACACCATAAAATTCACTCTTTTAAAGTATACAACTTAGTGGGTTTTAGTATATTTATAAAATTATGCAACCTTCACCACTATCTCATCCCAGAGCATTTTCATCACCACTAAAAGAAATCCTGCATGCCTTACCAGTCACTCCTCATTCTCTTCTCCCGTCAACCCCTAGAAACCACTGATTTCCTTCCTGTCACCATGGATTTGCCTAATTGGATATTTCATATGAATGGAATAATAAAATATGTGATCTTTTTGTTTCTGGCTTTTTTTCACTTAGCATACTGTTGTCAAGATTTATCCATGTACTTCATTCCTTTTGATGGCTGGATAATATTCATTTGTGTGGATATACCACAAATATTTATCCATTCATCTATTAGTAGACGTTTGGGTTATTTATGTTTTTTGACCATCATGAATAATATTCTATGAACATTCATGTATAAATTTTTGTGTGGGTATGTGTTTTAATTTCCCTTGGGTATATACATATACATGGAGTTGCTGGGTCTTATGGTAACTCTGTGTAACTTTTTGAGGTATACCTAAACTGTCTTTAAAATGGGGGCACCATTTACGTTCCCACCAGCAGTGCATGAGGGTTCCAGTTTCCTTACATCTTTCCTGTTATTTGTTACCATTTGTCTTTTTTACTATTTAGAGTTTTCTTTACATAGAAAACAAAGTCCCTGAGATTATTTGTATCATAGGTTATTTTCCCATATTCTGCTATGTATCCCTACTGATTATAAGTAGAAGGTTAGGGTATGGGTAGAAGGAAATTTTCATTTCATAAATTTTATTTCTGACTTGACCGCTTTTCACCAGCAGCCCCACATGGAAACTACTATTCTACCTGCATTAATAAATATCATCATTAGAGAGCTTGAGTAAGCCTGTCACGCTTTTAAAGGTACAAAGATTAAAAATCAGTGTCCTTCAGACTACTGTTATTCATTCATTCATTGTTTAAAAATAACAAATTTATGATGGAAAAATAAGAAAAGCCTATAAAGTATCTCTCAAACATAGAAAATCACTATATATTACCAGTTGTTTTTCATTTGTCCCTAAATTTTTTAATATGGTGTTAGGATAAGAAAATTATGGTGGATTTTAATTATTGTGGATACCAGCCTTTGATAACTCTGACAAACACATATTTGTCTCTTACCTTTCTAGAGATTCACTAATGTATTAGTTACCATATTTAAGCAATGGGACATATTTAAAGTTTATTTTGTTAAAAAGGCGTTGAATATTATGTACGGAATTAGACTTTTTATTATTTTTATAGTTCATTTAAGCTTTTTAAAGTACTTTAGAGATAAATAATAAGCTTCTCCAGTTTCCTCGCAGGAAAATGGAGGTATTGATGAATGGAGTGATTTCCCAGGGAATCATAACAAAATATGAGGATTCTGAGAATGAAGACCAGGGATTTATGAGAGCTGGTCCAGTGCTCGGACCAGTGGTCGGAGACCCTTCCTTTCTCACAGAGCTATCTTTGCAAATTCATTGGCTTTGGATGTTTTAAAGCAAATGGCCAATATGAAAACTTATAAAGGATTAGTTTTGCCATTTATGAATGACAGCTGCAGCTGTGCTTACATGAGTGAGGAAAGCAATTACAAGGCCCGTCGGTTCTCCATGAGAGACTATGGACCTGAGAAACAAACAGGGTTTTGGGGGAGGGAGGGGGGATTGGTTAGATGTACATCTAAATGCCTACCAATATATTAAAGCTTTTCAATAAAAAAAAATTGCCCAAGCAAATCATATTCTCTGGAAAAAATGTACCAATATACTCTCCTACCAGGAGCATAACAGGGGTTCCCTTCGCCCACCAATAGTGACAATTTCAATACTCAACTTTTCTTGATACATTTTGCTTAGTGTTATGAGCTTACCATTTATCAAACTCCTTTCATTGACTTCTATAATCATCAAACAAATGATTTATCTGTAGGCATTATTGTTCAGAGGTTTGTGTTTGCTGTATTTGCCTTCTTTCATCATCATTTGTCCTTGTGTCTAAGTCATCTTTTTGTTTGGTCTGCAATCTCACATGGTTTTGTTACCTGTCCTCTGTGCCCTTTGGTTTTCTTTTATCAGACTTGTTCTAAGAGGTATTGGGTATGTTTTAGTCCTTAAGCACACATAAGCATGTACTCCCACAAGGGAAGGTGGGAAGTGGAGGAAGAATGATAAATTGAGGCTAATTATTTAATATTGTAGCTTTTAGAAAATAGAAACTGTGTCCTCATTTTTATCAATTAGTACATTTTAATTAATGAATTAAGCAAGTTGGTTCGATTCCCTTAGGTAGGAACATACTTTCAAAGAATAATAGCATGCCAAATTCCCACCATCTGGAGATTTTTCAATTACAGCCATAATTTATCTCTTTTACTGACAAAGCACATCTTTAAATTTTCTTGTTTTATTTATCAGAGAAGTTTCTCATGATTCATGTATTTTTTTTAAACTATGTGATTTTTACTCTGATTTTTTGACAACTGAATCATTATTTTTCTTATTCATGTACACAGAGATGTTATTATTTCAAACAGAGAAAATGGATTTAAAAAATGGAAGTCCTCCAGTGAATTTAAATAACTTTGGGAGGGGAGAATCTTTCTATATTTTTACTAAACTTTTTTAAGGCTTTATTGAAGTATAATTGATAAACCAAAAAACTGCACATATTTAATATATACAATTTGATGAGTTTGTGTACACCCATGATGCCATCGCCACAGTCAAGGTCATGAACATATCCATGCCTCCCTTTGCATGTGTGTGTGTGTGTGTATGTTGTGTGTGTGTGTTAGGGATACTTAACATGAGATGTGTTTGAAATAGTCAAACTTACAGAAGCGGAAAACAGAGTGGTGGTTGCCAGGGGATGGGAATGGGGAAATGGGGACTTGTTCAATGGGTATAAAGCCATAGCTATGTAAGATGAATAAGTTCTAGAGATCTGCTGTCCTACCTAGTGCCTATTGCAAACAATATAGGATTGTAGACTTAAAATTTCAAGAAAGTAGATCTCCAAACATTTAAATTAAGCACCACACCACCTGTTGTGATTTTGATTATAATTTTAAAATTCTCAGTGGCCTAATTAAATATCTCATTGTAAGTTAGCTGCAGTGGAAAATGCACAGAGTTTTCAAGTGACAAGGGAGCCCTGTGTGTTCTTCCCACAATATTTCGAGACAGCAAGTAGGATTCAGATTTACTCAATTCTAAG